TCCCACCAGAACCTCACAGGCTTGTTAAAAGTCAACTGTCTGAGCCCAGAACGGTCCAGAGGTTTTAAAGGCATGTCATGTGTTTCTAAAATCACCAAACTGACACCATTCATCAGCCAGAAACAGTCATATTTGCCTGATTTTCAACTTTCAAACAGTCCTTGAACTAATCTTGTGGCTCCCCTGATTTCGTGACCCAACCCTGGTCCAGAACACTTTATTTCATCATTGAGTCCGCTGCCCGTTGGCCACAGAGCCACGTCGCCAGGATCAGTGACAGCTCTGTACCAGAAACGTTCTGTAAACGTTACGTCTCTGAAACCCCAAAACAACAAAAGGCAGACGCCCCCAGAGGCAGCAAAATCAGCAGGAAGCCGTCAAACTGAAGAAGAAGAAGCAAAACCTTCAAAGTAATAAAAACGAACCGAAAAAGGACCAAAGCCTAAAATTGTGATATTCCACAAAACAACAAACAAAAAAAACCCAACATAAAATAATAATTCTGAGCTCGTGTGTGAAGCCGTGACAGACTCAGGTGAGCATTCAGGTGAGCAGAGAGGAGACGACGATGGAAACAGGTTCTAGCTGCAGGACTTCAGTGGAACACGAACCTCAGTGAAGGACCAGCACCCAGAAACTGCTGCTCAGAGTTCAGAGGGTTCAACAAAACACCCACAACAACTAGTGTGAACAGGTTAGAGTTTGGTTTCCTGTCAAATGCCAAAGGTCTGGTGGTACAGCGGCGGGTTTTACCTCCAGTCTGGTTCGGTCCACACCAGGAGGGAGTTTACTGCGTCCTCTGTGAGTCACCACCAGCGTCTCATAGGGGTAGATCTGGAATCAGGATCAATCAGGGATCAATCAGGGATCAATCAAGGATCAATCAGGATCAATCAGGGATCAATCAGTCAGGATTCAGTCACTCCGTCGTTTCATGCAGGTAATGTTCAGTTTGCTTTGTTTCACCAGCGAGTGGAGGAAGAAGCTGGACGACTCGGTCACAGCAACGAGTCCATCGTTTCCACTTTAACCAGAGACAGTTTTAGCATCTATCAGCTTCTTTCATCAACGATTTCATTGTTGAATCCATTAACTTCCACTGTTTACTAGTTTAAACCAACTGTCATACCCAATAACTGTATCTAACTATAAGTTGTGCAGGACGGACCTGCAGTCAACGGTCACGAGTCGGACTCGAACCCACGACTCTGCATCGGGGACTAGAGCCCCTATACATGCTGCCAGGAGCTCTACTAGTTATCATTCTAAACTAACCTTCATTCCATTAACTTTAGTGTTCAGTCTGTTACTCACTGTTTAACCCATTACTGTCCACGGTCCTGTTCTTTTTGCTATAACGATGACTTTAACTATGAATAACTATTCATTACTTTTAGCCATTTATTACTTTGTTGAACTACAACTACTTTTAGAAAAATCTAATTTCTGATGATGACATTTTGGAAGAAACAACACAACTGTGAATATTTGATTCACTAATCAAACTAAGTTTTGTGTTTGTTGTGCAGCAAGCAGCAGAGAAACACACGGATCAGTTCAGGTTTGTGCACATCCTTCACAGAGGAACTCCTTGTGTTACCTTGTGGTCCAGCATGCTGGGGAGGGAGTTTCCTCTGTCCATCCTGGAGTCTCCATTCTGACACACACACACTCATTAATACAGCAACACCACGAACAGTCTCTAGTTATGACATGAATGATGGCAGAACGTCTGCACATGAGAACTAAAATGAGTGAACTTTACCTGAAGACCTGCAGAGAGACACAGACACAGAGTTCACAGATTAATGACCAAAGAGGCCACTAGAGGGCAGGACAACGTGAAAATAAAAGTCCTTTTATCTGGAGTTTCATGATGTATAACTAAAATATTTCTTTTTCTCCTTCATTCATTTTCAACAAATACTAACAGGAAACACATTATAATAAATATAATAGTCTTTCTACAGAGCAGGTGTAAAATGTACTGATCCAGACCCAGACCAGACCGGCTCTAACGAGGTTCTTCTGGATCTGGTGAACACGTTCGTACCTGCAGGACTTTTCTCTGCGGAGCTGAACTCTGCCGACTGCAGCTGAAAACGAACACAAACACGTTGGTCAGCGTCATGGTGGAACTCAGAGCTCCGGCTGCGATCGCCGACACTCACCCTGGACAGGCCGCTCCTGGAGGATGCTGGGAAATACACCGACCTGGAGGCGCTGGACCCTGAGGAGCAGAGAGGAGGAGGACGGTTCACACAAAAAACTGCTGCTGAACGCTGTCAGTAAATACAAGAGGAACCAGAACCCCAGAGGTTCTCTACAGGTGGTGCCACCTGACAGCCACCAGGTGGCAGCAGCGCCCTGCTGGCGAGAGGCTGCAGATGACGACTGTGTGGCTGAACTGAGGCACATGTTCTTAAACTAAATGCTTTAGTGGCAGCTGGTGACGTCAGAACCTCTCTGGAGGTCATTTAAGAACTCCAGCAGCACCCAGATGTTTGTCCTCATGTTGCTGATAAACCTGGGTTTAGTCTGGGTCGAGCAGCACCGCCTGCTGTTCATCGTCTGCAGTGAAACGTGGTGGACCGTGTGCGGGTCGTACCGGCGTTCTGGCTGCGGTCCGGCAGCGAGCGAGTTTTCCTCCTCAGAGGAGCAGCAGATTTCTCCAGCTCCTCCTTCAGGATGATTTTTCCCAGATTGGACTGAATCTGACACGAACACAGAAAAACCCCATTCAGAACCAGAACCCCATTCAGAACCAGAAAGCAGTGAAAACACCTAAACACGACGACGTCATTAGGTCCACCCGGTCCATCAAATACGGACCGACACAGCAGGTTCTGCTTCCTGTTTATTGTTAAGGTCACAGCAGGTCCAGGACGGAACCACACTGTTTATAAAGACTAACTGGACCTG